TAGTCAATGGCTGACTCCGTTTCCATGGTTAATAAGTTAGAGAAAAATGTATACACAGACATAGAATAGAAACTTATCAATAGAACATTTCAATTACATTAAAAACACTATCTAAATTATTTTTTCTAACACAACAAGAGAAGAAGAAGAATCAAACATTTCAACATCGTCGCTTTAAAATTAAAGGTGTCAATGCAAATTAAACTTTAAAGACATTATTTATAAAAATAGTATTACAATAACAAGCGCTTAATTTAACTGACTAATTTAAAAAAAATAACTTTAAAAGTATGTTTAAGAGTAGGATAGATCTCGTAACAATACGTTTTGCACTCAATTGCGTTATGATAACTATGTACATATATATTAATATATAATCTCCAATATATTATGTATCTAGCTGTTGGCTACTCTCATCTACTGTGGCTTATATCAGTGCATGTATAGTTATACAAAACATAGCGGGACTAAGGTAAAATATTAAACGACACACTTGATTCTCACAAAACACGGTTACAATACATATAAGTCGAATATTCTGGAAGTTTATTCATCTAATCTGGGATGTATTCTGTTTCAAGTCTTCAACGAGATAAATAATTAGATGACCAGTTAACGTTGATATTAATATGGATATTTCTCTACCAGGTGAAACGTTTAATCAGCTATAATTAATTAATATTGTATTTTATTGTATAAAAACCTAATCTTTACTGAATTCCTGTAATTATATACACATACGAATATTAACGAAACCGTATATATCTTTGAATTGCCTGAAATTTCGAACAGATTGCCGTTGTGTGTTGATTCATTTCCTGATGCACAAATCTCGAACACAAATCATATGATTTTGGTAATATCCATACTATTCTCAATGACACGAAACACAATTAAAACTACACAATAATAAAATTAAATATTGTATATATTCCAACTCAACACAAACTTTATTTTGCAAGACAAGATCCACAAATAGCTGACATTTAAAATTTGCATTAAATCTTAAAAACAAAATACATCCCTTATATCCCATTTACATAAAACAGAGCAGGGGATGTATCAAAATACTGTCCACACTAATATAACCTTTCACCTCTACATAACAAAGCCTAAACTAGCAAAATAGCGCGATTAGATCTCTGAAATTCACGATGATAGCAACACTTGAACAAACTAATATTTTGTTACGACATAAATAAAACATTAAACTTTTGCGTTCCATCATATATAATTTGGGAATAATAATATTTCGGACATTTGACACACAACGCCATCTAGTTTCAAACTAAGCAGAGCTTGTACTATGAAAGCTAGATTGACTGATAGAATACTTATATACCTACATACATAGAAAACACACAAACTCCGAAACAAATATTTGCAGATCATACAAACATTTGGTCCGACCGGGGAATCGAACCAGAGACCTCAGCACAGCAGTCGCATGCGCTAGCACTGCACCAACGAGGCAGTTAATGTGAATGCATGTGATCAATACGGATTACATATCTAGGCGTGTGGATTAGACAGATTATTTACCGAATCTATACTAATATTATAAAGCTGAAGAGTTTGTTTGTTTGTTTCTTTGAACGCGCTAATCTCAGGAACTACTGGTCCGATTTAAAAAATATTTCAGTGTTAGATAGCCCATTTATCGAGGAAGGCTATAGGCTATATATCATCACGCTAAGACCAATAGGAGCGGAGCACCAATGAAGAATGTTTCAAAAACGGAGAAAATTTATTACTATTGAGAGACGCAGACGAAGTTGAGCGGGTCAGCTAGTTAATAATAATTATATAACACAAATAAGTATATGGTATAGGGTCAAAACCTAGTTACCTGACGGTAAGGGACTACCACCGTCCATGTACACCTGCAACTCAAAGAGACACTAACGCGGGGTGCATTCACAGTTTTACATAGTTTTCTTTTTGTTTTTGAGTTATACGATTGGGACCAGTTTAATATATTGCATTTGAATACACAAAATCCCTTTCTTATCATTGCCATCTCCTCTTATCTACGTTTCGTATCAATCTGTATCAATCGCGTAGTGGTTCATACTGCGCTGAGTGCTGTTGGTTCGAACCCCCCCCCCCCCCCCCCAACACACTTAGTGTGATACACAAATTGTTTTTCTGTATGTTCTTTGTGTCCGTTTCATGTATATTTGTAAAGTTTGTAAAAGATATGTTTCTAGTGGGGGAGTTGTCTTTTTTAAAGAGAAAAAGAAAGAAGATAATATATACCTAATTTTCCCGTTTAATCCATAGTGGCTGGTCTTAGTGGATCTGTCTTATTTGAAAAATATAGGGTCTCGCTTCTTCAACTCTGTCAACCCTTTCATGGAAATAGGAGTATAATTTTATAAATGATTTTATGCACATTTAAATCTTAATCAAAGTTTAAAAGTAATCCTCACAGCTATAGAAAAACCCTTGCTAAAAGTGACACTCTGAGCTAGGCATATCTTAATTTTACACAATACTTGTAACAAGTGCGGGTCATAATCGTCTTTATTAAGTGCTAGACAGAGTCGCTATTTATTTATCTATATTAGTATTTTATATCCTTGGTTTATGTCTGTTCTCTAGCCGAAGGTATATTGTATTGAATCGAGCACTTTATTTCTGACAATTAAAAAATGCACAAAATGTGTATAGTGTTGCCAACATCGTGAATTAAATCCAGAGCCAATACCTCCGAGTTGGACTCTATAGCGCATGTATCCCCGGCCTTAAGGGTCGCAGCTCCCTATAAGTATGTAAAAGCTTTTGTCCAAACACGCCCCATCTACAACAATGACCAACATTATGCTTACTATTAGCAGTACCCCACCACCTTTAGTCCCAAGCGTACAGATATGTTCTTTGTATCATCATCACACTACACCTGCTGGCTTTCTAGACCTTGGGGGAGTCTTGGACAATGTGGACAAATTTGTTTGGTTAGAGGCTCAGACCTTCTGGTAATACCCAAATCGAGTTCTAGGCTTACACTCCATAGTCCATCAGCAATATATCTTTCCTTTTATTATATATAGTCCTAACTTGTCCCACCTAAATGGGCATGGGGCAAAATCACAGTGAACGGTGATTTATCATTAGATTTTTTTCTACGTAGGTTAGGGTTGCTACTTATTTGCTTATTGCTATGCTTGCTTATATGCTATGCTTATAATGTTTATTGCACTCCATAATATATACATAGGTATTATGAATGTAGAAAGAAACAATTATGGACCCTCTCGGGCAAGGCAAAATTGTTGCCAATAAGCTGTTTTCAGACAATGCATAAAGACTATTTTACCTATTTAACATTAAATCTAGTACTTTTTAAATTATTATGAAGGGAATGGTAGCAATCTATATATATATATATATAAGAGATTTCTAGGTATATAGTCACTCATCACGATATCTCTGGAACCATTAGAGCTAAAGACTTGAAATTTGGCAGGAATATTCTTTTCACCGAGTAGAGGTCAGCTAAGAACGGATTTTAAGAAATTAAAAAAAATATATATAATGTAAATAGCAAAACAACGTTTGCAGGGTCAGCTAATATATAATAAAATATTTTATTAGATTTAATGTGAAATAGGTAAAATAGGGTTTTCAACATCAATGATGATGGAAGGGCATCGTCTGGAAACAGCTTATTGGCAACAACGCGTAAGTAGCAACCCTAACCTATAACCGGAAGAAAGCAGTCATTTTAGGGCTTAGGGGTAGGGGTAGCTACTCCTAAGCCCTAAAATGGCTGGTTGAAGTCAATAGTTTCGTTCTAGTCAAGTTCTAGTCGGCAAGATATGGCTGTTTAATATACCTCGTTCTATAAATTCTATGGTAAATACAACATATGAAAACACAAGGACGTATTTTTGAATAAGAGCAAATTGATTCAATTAAATATGTTCCTAATAAATTTATCAACGATTAAAATTTATTTAAATTTCAGATTTGGGGGCAATTTATTTAAGATTTACGGATTTGCGGATAAAATGTTTTGTGGCTAAATCCGTTAACTAAACTGCTAATTGTTGTATTGTTTTATGGTATAGTGAAAATCAAGCAAATGGATCATCTGATGGTAAGTGACTACCGACGCCCATGGATACGTGAAAGGCCTGGTATTAGTGGAGTGTGCTTTGCTCTTGAAAGAGATAAATATTAAATTTGTGTGCATTTTTATATAACTCGTATTATAGCTAAGAAAATTAAATAGTTGTTTGAAACTGCCAAAACTTGAGCAATATTTTTATTTGACTATTGGCACTTCTAAAAACTTCCAAAAGGTGGGATTTGAGTATTGAAAATTTTTGACGATTTGTGAATATTTATAACGCTTTAAAAGGCATTCGAGAAACAAAATATGTTTATGTTACAAGAGAAACAATTTGATTACTTTTTTATTTATTAAAATAAATTCTGTTTATTTTTTTGCTTGTAACATTTTTAAATGATATTGGGCAAGTGAAAATTCGCTATTCGATTATATATTTTAGTGAAAAGAAGTTTTGTAATAATGAACGTAGTTTAAAAGTATTTTACAAAATAATAATAGCGTACTTGAATAAGAATGGTACCAATAGTTATATCCTAGAGATAAATTATGACTATTCTCTTCGAATTAGTTTTGAGGACGAGAGTGAGACATTTCTATCGTAACTACTTCTTTTAAAACAGATATACTTTTGCGTACTCTCATTTAGAGAGTTCTAAAACGGTTGACCACTATTTAGCGAGATAGATTTAGTTAATTCTTAGTATAACGCATACGTTCGTATCGCATGCGCACTAAGATTAAGTCGATAGTTAAATTAAATAATTATAGAGGATAGGAAACAGCCTTGGAACAGGAATAGTCCAAGGACAGTTGAGTAGCGTCTGTGAGACTATCAGCTGATGAGGAAAGGTGCGAGGAGGTTAGGGATGTGGGGGGTGTGCGGGGTGCCTCTTGGCGTGTCGCGCGGAGGCGCGGCGCGTACCGTTGCGGTCGGGCGCGGCCGCTCTCTCGCCGAGGGGGCTGATGCGGAACAGGTGGATCTTCATGTGCTCGCAGATCTCCAGGCAGATCTGGCCGCAGTACCGGATCAGGTCCACGCACACCCATATCTGGAATTCGCATCGAGTTCTAATTCAATGATGATATAAATTAAAATATACTCTTTTATTTAACGGACTGAGTTTTTTTTTACATGTAATAACTTTTGTATGTTGATTTCGTTAAAGGGGACGGAACTGTGTAACAGGAAGCATCCGAAGCTTCCTCTTATGGTTCGAATTAAATTAGATTAGAGATATGTATTACGAACATACCGTGCATAGCCACAATACGTAGTACTCGGGAAGTGCATTGTTGAAATACTGGTTGAGGAACAGCATGGCCGGCCCCAGGAGGGACCAATCGTAGTAATACATTTCGCTCTTGGTCATATGAGCCACCTACAGAAACATACAAAATCAGTATAAAAGTCAACATTTTTTTTATTTTCAGAAAATTGTTATCGTTCTATATTACTTTGGCGTTAAATACTCAGAGTTTTATTCATATTTATTTATTTTACACTATTGTACACAATATTAATTTTATCTCATCATCAACAGCCTTTAATAGTCCACTGCTGGACATAAGCCTCTCCTTAGACAGGAGGTTTTGGCATACTTTACCACGCTGGCCAGACGGGTTGGTATAGGGTTTGAGTAAGTTTTCCTTCTCTCTGCAGTGCTGTTGTTCTGCGTAGTTTAAGTCCCTTATTCGGCTCTTACCACATTACTCTTACCACATCCGTAACACCCACGGGATGAATAGGAGTGGTGACACTCTGTATTCTTAATCCCTCACCGTCGTGTGTGTTTCGTCAATGTATGTTTTTTTTTAAATACATAAATATGTTTCTTTTTATGTTAGAGGGGGCAGACGGGTCACCTGATGGAAGGTGACCATCGCCGCCCATGAACGTCTGCAACTCAAGTCACAAGTGCGTTGCTGCCCTTGTAGTCCCTCCCGCTCGAGTCAGCGGGAGGGACTCCAAGGGCAGCAACGCAAGGGGATTTGGGCTCCGGTAACCTCACTCACTCAGTGGTATCATATCATCAAAGGTATCGTTATCACTATTGTCTGTCTTCGGGAGTCTTTTCTTAATACCCTGTGTATATTATATTATATCCTATTCTTCTCAGAGTAAGTCTTAGGAAATGCCGGCTCCTTCTAGCTGTAAAGTCCGACTTGAAAAATATCTGAAAAGATTTACTTACAGAAATAAACATCATTTATCCTGACAGCCTCTAATCTCACAGGACAGACACATTCGTCCAACGATTAGGGACTAGATGATTTTTCTGTAAATAATTACAAAATAAAAATGCCAACTTACCACCAGCCTGTTGGTTACTTTAGCAGCGACCATGCCGAACGCCATGATGTACAACGACGGATGATGTTGATACACATTTGATTCACTCTTCTGGAATATGATGAAGGCAGGCACCACCACCAGAGAGAACGGTATCACCGGTGACAAAATGCTTGTCCCCTGGGAACAGTCAAACGGTGTATCTTGCTCTTTCGAGAGGGGCAAATGGGTAAAACTGATCATCAAGCACTTTTAAGGTATGAAATTCATTAATGTTTAACTAATAGCACTATATCAATGATTAATACAACAAGCTGCAGAGATATTTAGTCATGTTTAAAATATTTTAATGTTAATTTCAATTCGGTGTTTTTGATTTAGTTTACAGGCATAAAAATATTAATTATGTTTTCTTTCACATTATGTGATTGTTAAAAATTATACAGAAAAACAATTAATAACTACTAAAATGCAATTTATCCTGTTTAAATTTCAAATAAAAATTCTGCCAAAAGTTGTTGATTATTAGATTAAAATTTTAATTGACAAATAATTGGGACAAGCCTTAGTTTAGCCGCATAAAAACTAACATGCAACAATAAATTAAGCAAAGTAACCATGCTGAAACAAAGCTGGTGAATGAAACATGCAGATGAGTGAAAGTGCAGCGATCATGCATGACATTAGACACAGCACAACACTACAGGGTTGGACAGTACAGCACAAATGTGAATGAGTCAGTCATTGAGCATCGTTCGGCCGCACCCGGCCTCCGTGAGGCGTGAGCTGAGCGCGGTGGGCATTAGTACACTCGGTGCAGCGCTTACTCATATTAGGTGTTATTCATAGAGCACAATGCTAATTCAAAAACTCTTACTGCAACAGTGGAGCCGTTTTTCCCCACTCCACCCTTCATAATGACGTTAACGTAACTCGCCACTAGATACAATGTTACCAACACGACTGCGTAGTTGGAGATCAGATTCAAACTGATGTTTATAGTCGGTAACTGTAGTGTTAGACCGTGATATGCGATGATGGCGTGTGATGATCACATGATGATCGTCATGCGGTTAGGTCCCGCGTAGTGGCGCCGGACATACGGACGACGCGCGACGGCGGCCATAGCAGAAAAAAAAGAGAAACACATACATGCCATTAATATCGATAAACATGGGGCTACAATGCTAGGGAGGAAACGAGACGGTGCCTTTATCATTCATGTGGTGTCTTCACTCATTTCTTTGTTGTGGATATGAGAGTATGAAAAATATTTTATTTTTAGTGGTGATTTAATTAGTTTGTGGAACAATATCTGATCGTAACAATTTCTGGTAGCAAAAACAGCAAAATGAAGATTTAAAAATCTTTGTTGGTTTTTCCTTTTTTTTCAGCGTTGTTTATTTTACTGAATTCATTTTAATTAGTTTTAAAATTTTAAACTGACTCAAATTAAACATAAATTACTCCAACTTACTCCAACAGCTGATTTGACGCGTTAAAAAACCATGAATTGTTTTGTTTAACACAATTTAAATACATAATAAAATAAATGAAAGAACGATAATGAAAATAAATTTATAAATAACAATTTTACATGATTATGGGGTGATTGAACGTGTGACTGAAGTACACTTTTGAAAGTCTTTTATTGCACATAGAATAATATACGAATGCCTTGTCAAGTATAATATATAGCATCAAAAGTCAGGCCCTCCTTAATATTCTAGCCAACATATTTATTATATTAATACACGATTAAATCAGATCCTCGTTTGTATGATTTTGAATCATTAAAAGAGAATTTGAATCACTATATACGTTCGTGCGTTATTTACATGATACGCATGCATCCCCGTTATGTGACGATTCAGCCGTTTGACATCTACATCTAAAAAAATTAAAATGATATCCACAATTTGCGTTATTTATTGAGTTTAATGTGCAATGGGAAAGAAAACAAAAAATAATAATAGAAAAACCAGCTGTTGACTGGGAAATCCATTAGATATAGAATTTTCAGTGTATTGTTTTGCTACTGTCATGAAGCTTCTAGCGACCGCTTAAATGCTCTCTTTCCAATAGCGTGGCGGGTAACATTGAGATACCAGCATGTACCATTTTTATTGAACTCAAATCGATAAGTTTCTTAAACCACCCATGTTTATAACAGAAATTTATCAAGAGCCTATTATTCTTAGAAAAATATTAAGTATATACTGTAGACTTCAGGACTGAATCACCACATCCACCCTTCCTCAGGAGTAACACAATGTAATCTTACAGCGACGGTTGATCCGTTTTTTCCGCATCCCCTAACCCGGAACGTCGAAAAAAAGCTGATGCAAAAGAGGAAAAATGCAGAGTTGCAACCGCACGCGACTAGCACCCACCACGGCAGGCCCACCACTGGTATCTGCGGTAGGTATAGCAGCTCACATTTAGTATGTCTCTTTTAATCTTGCCGCAAAAACTAAAACTTCTTGTTTTAGTGTCGTCTTGTGGCACAAACCTATAAGTTTGTGTGGCCAGTGTATTTTTTAATCATCATCATCAACAGCCTTTAGTATTCCACTGCTGGACGTAGGCTTCACCTTAGAAAGGAGGTTTTGGCCTACTGTACCACGCTGGCCAGACGGGTTTGGTAGTGTCAAATTTTCCTTCTCTTTGCAGTGCTGTCATGCGTAGTTTGCTCCCTTAGTCGTCTCTTACGACACCCACGGGATGAATAGAGGTGGGGACACTTGGGTATTTTTAATCCGTCACCACACGGATAATTTTATAACTGTATTTTTTTAACTGGATTTTAATTCAATGTAAAGTTGCTTATCTTAAATGAGTGAAGACCCACATTTTCAGAATTTAAACGGGATGCTCCAGCCAGTCGTTAAAAGATTCGAATATAACAACTTACACGGCTACAAAGATTTTAAATAATCACATCAATTGTGTTCCTTGCTGTTGCAGTAACTTGTTGACAAACAATCGTGGGAAAAAATGTATCTGATCTCCCTCTCTATACTTTATAAATGTGAGTTTTTTTGATAGAAACACATTCTAAAGAAGGATGCATAATATATAATCGATTGATTCATTCATTCATTTAATCAATCATACTTTTGATTTAATGAATGAATGATTGAATGAAAAATTGTATATGTTAGAACTGACTTATAGATGACTTGCGCTCTTTTATTGTAAAAGGAGAAAGTTGTTCAAGTCAGATAAAATTTAAAAAAAAAGCATTCATTTCTCAACTAAATTGTATTTTACGGACAAATTATGTATTAACAAATACTGAGCAATAAGCGGCGGTAGCCTAGTGGTTAAGGCATTGGACTTGCGATCTAGAAGTCGTGGGTTCGAATCCTGACCAGTACACTACCGACGTGAACCCACTCCCAACTCTAGCAATTTAGCTTAGCTGGAGGGGTTAACGGGAATACTAGTAATTTCGGTTGCTAGTAAGCCTTTCAAATTTTAATTTAATTTAATTTTAAACAAATAGGTATAGAATTTGAAAAGTTTTTTGCGTCTAATAATAAATCAAAAATGAAAATTTTCAATTGCTAATAAAATTTCATGTGGCATAATTTCGCAACAATCCAGTCCGTTGTACTTTTAAGTTCAGATGTGAATTATCTACATGAAGAAACCACAGGATTTCTTCATTAGCTATAAGTTACCACCATTAGTGCAACGAACACATCACCATTAGTGCAACGAAAACAATGTTGTGATATATTTAATAGTGCCATTGTATCTACTTGTGAATTGCAAAAGAGTGGCCATGAGTTTGTTTGCCCTTTCTTCTCATAAGGCTCAACCCCTTGGAAACGGGCGGTTGTAGATCGGCACAGGCATATCATAGATTTTGTATGGGTTTGATTTTTGTTAAATTTATTTGGTTACTATTTGACAAAACAGAGATTGTTGCTTTTGTGTGTGTTGATCTATGACTTTAGAGTCTACATGGAAGACGATTTCAAACAATTTTGGAAATTTTATGAAATAAAGAAAGTTTGAGTTGAGTTGAGTTGAGAACTAATAACCATAAACATTTCTAACGGTCAGAAACGAGGCGAATTCGTTTTACTATTGTTTTATTTTCTGTAGTAGGTACTTTGATTCTGTTTCGTTCTGCTTAAATTATATCTTTAAAATGTATATTGCATTTATTTCCGCCTACGGAATACTTACATACATAATATCCTTAAAATATTTTTTCACATCACATCACATCAACAGCCTTTAATAAGTCCACTGCTGGACATAGGCCTCTCCTTAGAAAGGAGGTTTTGGCCTACTATACCACGCTGGCCAGACGGGTTGGTATAGGGTTTGTGTCAAGTTTTCCTTCTCTCTGCAGTGCTGGTATCCTGCGTATTGCGCCCTAGTCGGCTCTTACGACACCCACGGGATGAATTGGGGTAGTGACATTCCGTATTCTTAATCCGTCACTACACGGAAATATTTTTTAGTCAGAATAAAAATTTATGTTAGTAACACGGGTGCATTCTACAACATTATTTAACGAATCATTCATTATTGGTGCACCCCGTCTGTGGAATGCACTGTATTTTTTTAATTGGCCTTTTTATAGAAAACTGTTAAAAAATTACGATGTCTCCTTTTAGCTATCTTTATCATATTGTAATAATTTACATAATATTACATATGTGTTGTGACAGATATAAATTTTTATCTATGTATATGATTCTTTTTTTATCAATCTAAATGTAATTGATAACATCGATTTATGGTAAAAAAGGCCTTTTATTATATTTTAGTGTGTATATTATATCTATGCGACTGTTAATCAATAATTATGTACAATGACAGGTATTTATCTTATCTCTAAAGGTTGATGTGTGCTAAGTTTATCTGAAGTACAATTTAATGATTAATTATTATAATTCTCTATTAGTATGGTCATTATGAGATGTCGTATTTTACTCGTCATTATATGCTGTTAAATATTAAGTAATTTCTATTTATTAACATTTGTATGGTATCAGGCGCAAAAAGAGAACTGATGGTGACTACCGCCGCCTATGAACACCTTCAACTCATCCACCCTGCGAGTAAGGGTTTGGGGAAGGGGGAGGAGGTGGGGGGTGTTTCTGCACGTAAACAATATCTCTCTGTCAAACTTTTAGCAATTATGATGATTACTGAAAAAAATTACAAATAGTACTCGCCGAACAGTCAGTCATTCAAAGCCACGTACACAAAACGGACATTATTTGCAAATACTTAAACACATATCGTCAGTAATGAGAAAGGGACCTTCACACGAACTGACAGCAAGGAACACAAAAACATGTAAGAAATTTATAAAACAAAACAAAAATATCGATACATGCCATTAAAAAACCCACATGAGATAATAAGCAATGGTATTGTAAGATAAAAGATGGAAATTCTCGTTAAAAAGTTCGGTTAAAATTCAGTTCCGGTCAACTCTCGATCTCACAACTGTCGTAAAAGGTATTTTCGTAGTAAAATTGTAAAGTATTACAAAGACTAGCAGATTACCGATTCAATTTTCGGTTACAATACGATATAATCACATTACAGTCAACGTTGGACGTGTAATACTTTACTGCGAAAATATCTTTTATGACAGTTGTGAGATCGAGAGTTGACCGGATCGGAATTGTGACCGAACTTTTATTACGAGACTTGGCCTTCTGATTTAAGCCAACGTTACGGAGCACTTACAACGTTTTAATTTATAAAAAAAATGGATTATACCATTTGCCTATACTGTATTGTGTGATAACAAACATTATACTAACAATACGTGACCTAGTGTTGAAACGGTTAATGTACATTATTGAATAAAATTCATTTCAGACTGTTTTAATTTATAGTTCAAAAAAGAAAACATCGTTTTATCAACAACATTAAACATCTACTTCATGACATACACATATTTTGCAGTATTTTCGGGTTAATTTAGAAAGCTTGTGACACAAAGATTACTTTTTTATGTTTTATGTTTGTATAAATTGTTCTGAGTTGGAACAATACATGAAAATTACGATAAAATGTGTCAAAATCTGATGTGTATATAGTATAGATCTATATAACGAATATACATTACCCGTAAATAACAACACTTTGCCACGAAATATCTCAGAGCACGAAAAATGTATAGCACATAAATTTATATGTGGCCAAGTAATTAAAAAGTTGTGAGGTGACGATTACAAAATCGTGACCTCACAACTTTTTAATTACTTTATTTTTAAATATCTGAATTCAATTAAAAAACTGGTACGCTTCTTCTTCGGTAAATTAAGTAAAAGTAATTGAAGATAAGAAGGTAAGATAAGAAATTAAGTGGAAAGAATTTAAATTTATCCAGCTGTGACTCATGTAACAGAATCAACTGCTTTGACCAACAAAAGTGTCTAGTCATAAAAAACTTATCCCATTATTGTCGCAATCACTGTAATTTAGGATTTAGATATAATACACTTTCTTCTGAAAAGCACTATTTCGGCTTTCACAGAGCATGAACAGACAAAAACCCTGTGTAAAACTACCCCGTTAATAGACACGAACAAGCATTTTATGGTTTTCACTCCTCATGATTAGAGATTTCGTCAACTTTTCTTTCTATTAATTACTACATTATTTAAATTATTTAAGTTTACCTCTAAAGGCTCATACGTTGTGAATCATAAATAAATCTAAACGAATACAACATCAATTAAAGATATTTTACAACGTCTCGTAAAGACTATAAGTTACTTTTTGCATCTATATTGTTTATTTGCATAACAATATCAATTATCGAACTACAGTTACATTACAAGCAAATGTGTAAAAAATATGTGTACATGTTTCTATCGCGTGTAAGTACTGCACGTAAAACTATTTGCCAATCTTAAGCCGAAGTACATTCTCTATGTGTTAAAGTATATGGGCCAGTCGAAAATGGTTCTGCGACACTGCAACTCAACACCCGATTCGTTAGTCCAATTAATATCGCCCGTGTGGGAGAAACAGTGAACAGATAAAAGGACCAACATCCAGAAAAACCCATTGATAGTAAAAAGAATACAAAAAATATTTTGAACGTGGTAATTTGCAACGCCATTCAAAATTAGAATCATGGAGAAAATTGTAATATACAAAAAATATAAAAAAGGATTACTACATAATATTACTATGTATTCTCAATTTTCTATTTTTACAAAGTTCAAATTACAGGACTACACAACACGGCTTTCTATCATTATTGAACCAAATGTTTAAAATCACGGTAGTGCAACCGCCAAGTCAAGAAATCTCCCACACTAAGCGAATAACTAGGGGACTATAAAAAGGTCTCACGGCGACTGTGGAGCCGTTCTTGCCCACTCCGCCGGTGACGATGGCAGCAGACAAGGCACCTCCCGTAATGAAGACGCCAATTAGGGCCACCAACGCTAGTGAGTAGCGCAACTCGAACCCACCACCCACCTATGCGTATTGTGCTTTTACTTAACACGTACAACATTGCACAATTTAACAGTCTATTTACCATTTGTTCTGCTTGTACAGTTATAATCAATCATTTTTTTATTTGTACTCGGCTTTCAGCATATAATTGTTTTATTTAGTATGAACAAGGAGAACCTGGTAAGACTGCACAAAGGCTGTGGTGTGACTAAACTCAGGTAGGTCATACATAACCTGATAATAACACATTAATTTCACAACACTTTCGACTGTGTGAGATGGCATTCATGTGGGTTTTTAAATATTGTCAAAGACATAATTTAATTTATTGTATACAAATATTTTAAATACAATTAACTATTTGACGTGTACACATTTCTAAAATTGGATATTAATTCTAGTCTGTGATTGGAAAGGTTCCAAAAATAAATGACTTGGCAAGTTCTTGGACATCACATCATTGGACATGGACAATAGAATCGATAATTGTTCAAAAGTACATGATTTACAGCATGTGTGCTCAGTTTGGACTATTCTGCCAAGTCATTTTTTCTTGTACATATATAAATACTAGTGCTGTATAAATCAAACAGAGTACATTACCTGAGTAGCCCAAAAGCTAGGGCCAAAAATGGCAGACACAAGGTGTATGCCCATGATGGAGTATTGAGCTTCTGTGACGTCTATTCGGCCCATTTTTAGTGTTCCTGTCACGTATGCCTGCCAGTGAGCGCAATAGAACAGTGTCATGGCGCTGAAGCACTGAAACAGATGGAAAAGATATTAGCCAAAACGAAAAGTGCTACCGACCTCAATGTGCCTATGTGGCAATGTGTGGTAAATTTTCATCATCAACAGCCTTTAATAGTCCACTGCTGGACACAGGCCTTTCCTTAGAAAGGAGGTTTCGGTCTACTATACCACGTTGGCCAGTTGCTGGCAGTGATGATGTCCTGCGTAGTTTGCTCCCTTAATCAGCTTTTACGACTTGCTGAGACGATATACACTTGATAAATTGTAATTAACAGTATTCTTCATTTCAGGCGGGCATGTTGGTCAAGTGGTTAGTGACCCTGACTCCTAAACCGGAGGTCGTGGGTTCCATTCCCACCCAGAACAAATAGTTGTATGATGAGCACGATCATTTGTTCTTTGTCCGGGTTGTAATTTACCTATAATATGTGTGTATTTAAAAATATATAAGTATGTTTATTACCCGACTGCCAAGGAAGGGTTATGTTTATATCTCTTGTATTTTGTATATATTTTATTAGCTTTTGAACACGGCACCGCCCGTGTTTATTTCGATTATACCGTTAAAAATAGCCTATGTTACTCCCTAAAAAGGTAGCTTTCCAATTGTGAAAAAAAAGTTGTTAAAAAAAACTAAAAAACACGCTTGTTGTCAATAGTAAAAAGCATCCCACGCTTTTTTTCAAAATTTGTTTTCTATTTTTTAGTTTGGTTTTCTATAAAAAGCGTGTTTTTTAGTTCTTTTAACTATTACTTTTTTTAATATTTTATTTTTGGAACGAATTTCCTTATCGCGCGTTGTGAAGGGGGGGCTAGACGGAAAAAAATCTTACGAAAATTGGTCACGACACTTTTTATTTTGAATTGTCACTTGTCAGTCATCCCGCGCGTCAGCGCCATCTATCGAATAGTAAAATTAAAATTTATGTTCTTAGGTTGAGCAAAAAATATTGTATTCGACATCATTTCTCAAGGAGATTTTACCAATGTATAAATTGTTTTTATTAGAAACCAATTGAAAAATATGTAGGTAATAGTCGCTTTCATAGATGGCGTTGTAATTAAAATCGTGTCTAATCAGTTTTACTCGATCGTAACAACTTCGTTCCTATCGGGTGTCCCACGACACCACACGGCTTTTTTATTCTAAATTAGTGTATTGTCACCGGTCCTCGATATATCTACAAAGTTTGAACGAATTATGACCGTTTAAAGTCAGTCAAAATCACGCCCAAAGGAGTCGGTTACAAACAAACATACAAGTGAAGCTAATATAAAGCGTGTAAAAATCCAATAGGTTTAGTGGTTTAGGTGGGAAAGCTAACAAACAAACAAAATCACTTTCATATTTATACCTACTTAAGATGAACGAGGCGCGAGGGTTGGACCGTAAGTTTTTGACTAGTAAGAACTAGTAAGGAGGACACAGTTTTTCGTCATTAAAAATTGCTTTCGCTTAAACCATTTATTAAAGGGTCCATGTCACTCTAAAATTGGTTTTTCTAAGATGCTTCCGTGTGGTGACGGATTAAGAACATGGAGTGTCACCACCCCTATTTATCCCGTGGGTGTCGTAAGAGCCGACTAAGGAAGCAAACTACGCAGGACAACAGCATTGCAAAGAGAAGGAAATTTTGAAACAAACTCTATACCAACCCGTCTGGCCAGCGTGGTATAGTAGACCATAACCTCTTTTCTAAGGAGAGGCCTATGTCCAGCAGTGGACTGTTAAAGGCTGTTGATGATGATGATGACTGATGAAGATGCTTCAACCGCGTCTTCTAGCATCGAAATCGACACCACGGATCTGAAGTTAATCTTTATAACACCGGCTTTTGGTCTCGTTTTAAATTACAGTTTTAAATGTATAGTCTATTCGTTTCAATAACCACAAAATTATAGAATTAAGAAAAAAAATAGCAATATTTTCCAATCCCCCCGAGACAAATTAAGTTGAAGTGCGGTCACATTCTCAAATTATGAAACCGCGGCATCAATTTACCTTCAACTTTCTCACCAATTATAATAAAAAAAATACCGGTTCGTAATTTATTATAACAAAGTAAATGTTTGCTGTAAGGCAACCAGTTAAAGACATCTCATAGAGTCAAGCCTATACTCCTGAAGAGGTGGGCAGAGATGTGTATTAAAGGCTCCCGTTTTGGCAACCATAATTTTGGTCCTACTTAGGTCATCATCATCATCAACAGCCTTTAATAGTTCTTTCATAGCTGCACATAGGCCTCTCCTTAGAAAGGAGGTTTTGATTTACTATACCAGGCCGGCCGGGTGGTTTGGTATATTCTGTCAAGTTTTCCTTCTCAATGCAGTGCTGTTGCCCTGCAGAGCTTGCTCCCTTAGTCGGCTCTTACGATGAATAGGTGTGGTGACACTCCGTACTCTTAATTTAACTTAAACTTCTGATTCCACTTACGTAATAACAGAGGTCAACAGAGGTCTTTAGGGATTAAATGAGACAATTGGGAATATAGTGAAAGGAATATAAAAAGAGAAGGAAGATAAGATGGCAGGAAAGGGATATTGCTTGTCGAAGAATGTAAGCAGTAGTTCCAGCAGATCAGTCATATCTATAACTCCAATTGGCTATTTTTCGAAAGTCCAAATCCTCTAACCGATTTGAGACCAATAAAGAAATTATCGGCCAGGTTATCAGCTATGAGTATCTATCATTTGTATATGTTTAAATCTTGTCAAAAAAATGCGTGTTTAGGTTCACAGGTTCAATTACATTATCATCATCATTATCATCATCAGCCTATCGCAGTCCACTGCTGGACATAGGCCTCTCCCATTGCACGCCACTCGCATCTCTCCATCATCCATTCTCGCATCCAGCTCCTGCCAGCCATCCGGAGACGCGGTCTCCAATTACATCAAACACACGAATCGAATTCACACTTCGTTTAAGATTTAATTTCGATTCACGATACATTACGAAATGACAATTAACTAAGTCCCACTAAATATTTTAAAGGCGAAAATTTGTGTCTGTAAGTTGGTGTGTTCTTCACGCTTAGACGGCTGAACCAGTTTCGTTAAAAATGACGGTAGCTAACAACCTGTATTAACACATAAGCTACTTTTTATCCCAAAAAAAAATTTAGTTTTCCCGTGGGATGAGCAAGGAATTGAAATATAACTTGAATAAATAAATAGGTTTTTGATGGTTATACCTTCGTTTTCAGAATACGAAACATCAATATAACTAAATCCTAGAAAATTGTATTCTTGTTCACCATTGTCCGCCAAATTTAGGAAAAATATAAAATAGTGATTCAAATAGATTGGCGTGTGTCCAGAATTGGCACGGTGATAGAGGGGGGAGATTTTCTTTGGCAGCCTCCCAGTATATACAGATAACGAGCTCCGAAGGCAACGTGCTGCCAGTACTAAAGCACTAGCTAAATATTTAGATTTCACGTAAATAGTATCCGTGAATATCAATAGCGCTATTTTTTTTAATTTATTCGAATCAAAAAGCTTTGAGGAAAGGAATGTTGCATCTATCGTCTGTTTTATCATACAACTAAACTACAAATACAACAATTTTCGTTAACATCCGGTGTAAGGAACGCATTGAATGAGCTAACGTGAGCCGGATCCGCGGCAAACTTATGGGATGTCTATCAGATAATAATAATAAAAATCTACCACATTCACACAACGCCATCTAGTCCCAAACTAAGCAGAGCTTGTACTATGGGTACTAGACAACTGATATAAATACATATATACTTTTTTTTTTGTAAATACATACATATTATACATAGAAACACCCAGACCAGATGCAGTAAATGATGATGAATCTGTTTAAGAGAGGGGTGGACCAGCAACCCTGTTAAAACCTATAACACCTGAACTGAATAAGATATTTATTACCATACTGTAAAAACCTTAAGCTAAATTAGTTTTCTATACTTTTTAGTAGAGTAGGGTAGACTTAGTTACTTGAATCCGATCCCTGATGTCGCTAGCCTCATAATAACCACTAGGTAACTAGCAAGCAAGCTGCGTGCTATTCTATATACTACTAGCTGACTACGCTACTCAATATTTTTCTTTACAAATTTGAAATAATGAATATTTCCTTATAACAGATGCGTGACGAGCTAACTAGCAGGACAACAGCACTGCAAAGAGAAGGAATACTTGAAGCAAACCCTATACCAACCCGTCGGGCCAGAGTGGTATAGTAGGCTACCCCTCCTTTCTAAGGAAATACCTATGTCCAGCAGTGGACTATTATGGCTGTTGATGAATACCTTATGTCAATTATCGCGGTAAAAAGTAGACTATGTGCTTCTTCAACAATAAAAGTATTTCAATACCAAATTTCATTAAAATCGGTTCAACGGTTTAGTTTCAGATAGACAGATCATCATAGAATGTGAAAGTTAAAAAGTTAGTGTAAGCATTCAGTATTAAAAATCCGCGTTTTATGATAAAGCTACATTATTTATTAAGAAGTGGAGTAAAGAGATCATATCGACTCGTTGACTGGGACCCTCAATTTCAAAAGCGTTCACACTTCCTTGGACATACAAGGTCACGTTAAAATACACATATCGTAAAAACCTTGTATTACCATAAAATGTAAATATGTAATTTGGAACATTTCCCTATATAATATGCAAACAACTGGCGAATGAATTAACACACGTATCACTTTAAGTATTGTTTAAGGAAGACACGCACATTATGTAATACTGATAATAAAATGATACATCTACTTCTTTGATTTAATTATCGTAGGAATGCGAAAACACAAAACATTTAATGAATTGTGTCAATTGATAGCAGTGAATAGATTTCTGGGCCACATTATCAGGTGTCACGATTTTTTTCGGGGGGAATCTGCAGCTTTGCCCGGGACAGGCCCGGCGTCAATTTGGGGAAGACCTGATATCACATGGTCCGGTTCCTCAGCAAAGTAAGCGCCTGAGGTGGGCCCGCGAGGTGGTTTTTAGTTTAAACACCACATACACATT